TGCTTAACCAATGCCATATTTTAAGATAAAACTGTTCTTTTTCTAAAACTGTTATTAAGAAAGAGGCTGGAAACATTCTGGTCTGATGTCGATGCTTTGTTGGCATTTCGTCCCTCTTTTTGTTAAATGAAACTCATTTAACCCCATTTTCAGTTTTCATATTAAAAAAATCCTTTGAAATCATAGCAGGAATCGAGGAGGATATCAGATTTGACTGTCCATTTTATAAGAATTTTTTTTTTTTTAAGATTTATTTATTTGACAGAGAGACAGCAAGGGAGGGAACACAAGCAGGGAGAGTGGGAGAGGGAGAAGCAGGCTTCCCGTGGAGTAGGGAGCCCGATGCGGGGCTCGATTCCAGGACCCTGGGATCATGACCTGAGCTGAAGGCAGACACTCAACGACTGAGCCACCCAGTCGCCTCCATTTTGTAAGAATTTGAAAGAGGCTTAGAGATACGGTTTTACAGCATCTTAATATCTTAAGTATTTCTTTGTTTCCCTTTGTTCCCCATGTTCTGAATGTACACTTATGTTTCAATAAAATGGAGAAAAGTTTGCTTCTTTCCAATTGATTGCAACAGGGAGAGGCCTTTGGGGTTTAATTAATTGCTTCCCTGATTTTAATTGAGTAAGGTTAGTTTGGAAATTAGATCAAAGATGACTTGCTTGTATGGACCACAGTTTTGCTTACTGTGTTTCTGAAGACCTATTGCAGGTAGTTGGATCTACAGTTTCGTAAATTTCTCTTCTGAAGTTAATTTTTGATAGGTAACCGCTGATGATATTGAATAGCATTCTGTCTTACCTGCTGAGCTTTTTGGGCTTATTTCAAGAGGAGAAATTATCCATCCCCATTATGGGGAGTTTCCACTCAGTTTCACATATAGTTTTTAAGGCAGGTTGATTAAATAAAGTAGCACTGTGTATCTTTTTTTTTTTTTAATGTTTTTTTTTGTTGTTTTTTTTTAAAGATTTTATTTATTTGAGAGAATGAGAGAGAAAGAGAGAGAGCATGAGAGGGGGGGAGGGTCAGAGGGAGAAGCAGACTCCCCGCTGAGCAGGGAGCCCGACGTGGGACTCGATCCCGGGACTCCAGGATCATGACCCGAGCCGAAGGCAGTCGCCCAACCAACCGAGCCACCCAGGCGCCCCTACAGCACTGTGTATCTTATTCCATGATTTCTCACTATAGTTTGCCCACAAGTTAATTTCTTTTCTTTTTTTTTATAGATTTATTTATTTATTTATTTGAGAGAGAGAGAATGAGAGATAGAGAGCACGAGAGGGAAGAGGATCAGAGGGAGAAGCAGACCCCGTGCTGAGCAGGGAGCCCGATGTGGGACTCGATCCTGGGACTCCAGGATCATGACCCGAGCCGAAGGCAGTCGCCCAACCAACCAAGCCACCCAGGCGCCCCTACAGCACTGTGTATCTTATTCCATGATTTCTCACTGTAGTTTGCCCACAAGTTAATTTCTTTTCTTTTTTTTTTTT